TAATATTGAGTACAACTGTGAAGCAGTAACTGGGCTCAGCAGAGGGTACGCAACAGACAAGACATCTGCAGTCTCAGCTCAGAAACCAATATCTCAGAAGAAGCAGCTGGATGGGTGGGGGCGGGGAGGGGGAGACACTGTGGGCTGGAAGGGAGAGCGTAGTACAGTGCCCAGGAGAGGGAGAGCGAGCTTTTGAAGACGACCGTGAAGCTCTCCCCAAAACAAGAGTAAGTGGGCACTGAGTCCCTGCAGAGGGTGTCTGGAGGTTCTTTGCGCCATCCACATCAGAAATGACAGAAGGGGACAGGTGAAAATGGGGCCAGGGCACCCCCCCTCCCGCCCCCGATGAGGGAGGAGGCTGGTGCCCCCGAGAGCTCTGCAGCGGCTGACACAGCTCGAGGGCTTCGTGCACCACCTTCTCTGTCCTCACAGCACCTCCAGACATGGCATGGTGGAAGCAGAGATGGACCAGGCAGCAGGTCTGGGACCCAGGTGCTGCTGCCTCTGGGCTGGTCCAAGTCAGACAGACTCCCGTAGAGCAGGCTTGCAAACGCTTTCAGTGCTCCTTTTAGTGTTTAGCAAACTTAGTTTAGTTCACAGTGCATGCATAAATTACTTTCAAGTAAATCACATTTTATTACGGGTTTCGGTTGTGTTAAAAATACCCAATGCCAGGGAAAGCTGCTGGCTGTCTGGCACTGGGCCAGAGCCCCCCAAAGGACAGACTTCCCTGAAAGGGTCCACCCTGGTTGGGGCGATGTGGAAGGGGCTCAGCTGGGGCTGGAACATACTTAGTGAGTCTGAGAAGACCTCACAAGGGTATGTTTTGCTTTCCAGCTCCTTCTGTTACTCTTCCTTTAATGACCCGAGGGATCCTAAGGGTCTGAGCGAGCAGAGGTGGCTCCTTGGCCCCAGCTGTCAGTTGTGTAAAAATATTTTATAACGTCAAAAATTGCCTGGAAACACAGGCCTACTAGAGAATGGACTTGAGGATACGGGGAGGGGGAAGGGTAAGCTGTGACAAAGCGAGAGAGAGGCATGGACATATATACACTACCAAACGTAAGGTAGATAGCTAGTGGGAAGCAGCCGCATAGCACAGGGAGATCAGCTCTGTGCTTTGTGACCACCTGGAGGGGTGGGATAGGGAGGGTGGGAGGGAGGGAGACACAAGAGGGAAGAGATATGGGAACATATGTATAACGGATTCACTTTGTTATAAAGCAGAAACTAACACACCATTGTAAACCAATTATACTCCAATAAAGATGTAAAAAAAAAAAAAATTGCCTGGAAGAACAAACAACCCCCAATACTCTGTTTCAATGTGCAGAAGCGATCTGATGGCAACACAGAGAGACAATGAGAGAGAAACAGAGATTAAAAAAAAAGACAAAGAGACAAAGAGAGAGAGAGGATATATTCATTCCTGCAGCTGCAGATCACCCAAAGCCTCCCAGATTACAGGAAAACAAGGGGACTCCCATCATTCTGTGAAGACGACGTTTGCTCTACGCGGTTCCCCGGGGGCAGCTCGGCAGCTCTCCTCCTGTTACGCACGACAACACCACTGGCGAGCCCTCTGTGAGCCCTCGGTGCGCCAGGTCTGGGCTTGCTTGGCACTATCTCACTTCATCCTTAATAGAAACCTGTGAGGCAGTACTAGGATCACCCCATTTTACAGATGTGGAAACCCTGTGGGGGTGGTCAGATAACCTGCCCAGGTTCCAACATTATCCAAGGACAGTACCAGGATTCAGTTCTGGGTCTGTCTGTCCCTACAGCCATGTCCCAACCACCTGGCTTTGCTAACCTGTTCTATGTTAGCAACAGAGTTTGCTCCCCAAGAAAGCTTTTCCCTTAGTCTTCAACTCCAATTACGCAGCCCCTACCATTCTGCTCTCATTTCAAACTTATTTAACAAAGAAAAATATGCTTCTGAACTGCCTGGGAAGCTGCATTTTCCTCTCCCCCCTCCCAGTGCAAAGTGACACTTATTTGTGTGCCTAGGAAGGACCAAGCCAAACCCATTCATTACAAGGGAAGGGAAGCCACATGTGTAGACCCTGGCTTTCAGCACATCACTGTATTCTTTTTTTCCCGTGGCTGCAAAAAGTAGAATTCTTTCAATAAAAGCTTTCTATCTAAAAATAAAATAGTGGCAAACTCTGCAATTATACTTCTCAGTTGGAGACATTTGCTTTCCACTCTCTTTTCCCAAATGCACAAGGTCCAATCCGTTGGTCAGTTAATGGGTCACACCAAAGGCCCAAATGTAGTCTAATGAACTGGAAAACCAAAAACCAAAACACAAACAATGTTGTGTCGTTGTTCCCCGAGTGCAGTGAGTAGCTTTATTTTACATCAACTGTATGCTATTTATCTCACCTGTCCTCCACACAGTGGGGCCCTGATCAGGGTTTGCCAACCTCCAGCGCTAGGGCCGTCAAATGATGCTTGGAGGCAGCTGTTGTCAATGAGCTCTTCATCCAGTCTCCTCCTCTGAGCCCACCCCAACCTCCCCGCTTCCTCTCCTTTCCCTTTGCTGTTCTGCATCTCCCCATGCTTGCTCGTGGAGTTCTGGATTAGCATGTGACTTGGATTTGTCAGAAAGGTTGCTCAGAACCTATCAGAAGGGCTCCTGGGTATTACAGACTGATGGCTCTTATCTTCTCAGCTGGTAGTTTCTATAAGAAAGGGTACTATCTTATACAGTTATACTATAGGAGAAGTACACCATTAACTACATATATAATTCTGGTAAGATGATTTTACATCTAATTCATCAGGGTTCTTTAAGGAACATGTAAACCTATGTTTACCTATGGGTGATGGAGGGGACACATGAGGGAATTAGATGAACTTTCAGAAAGTGTTTTACAGTATGATCCGAAGAGAATTTTAAAACACTATGAGATAGACAGGAATGTTTTATCATGATTAGGAATCTAGCCTAGAGACAGAAGACAGAAGATTGAGACCAACTGACAGTCAGGTGTCTAGTAATGGGTAAACATTTTTATAAATGATAAAGAGAAGGAGATGCCCCGTAAACTCTTCAGGTTTGTAGGAAACAACTCCCTTCCTATAAATGCCAACTGGAACAAGTCATTAGACCTCCAGGAGAAGACATGCAAAAGATTTTAGGTGAACGAAATATATATATATATTCCATCATATAATATTTCATCATATAATATCAAAATTACAACCCAAGAAAGGGTCCTCTGAATCCCTACAGATTATTCCCCTGAAGACATTTAGGCCACGGTGCTGCTCTGGCTTAAAAGTATGCTCGAGAAGGGCATGGGATGGCCACTGGGGCTGAAGTCATCAGGAAGGGTATCACACAAAGGCTGTCATGTGTCCTTGTAGAAACCCTGGTGTGTGTGTCCTCACATAGAGGACCAGGTATAGGTTTGGTCACCATACCTGTAAAGGGATACAGTAGATCAAGAAATTGGCCAGAGAAAGCCAATCAAAAATGTCAAGGGAGCAGTAGTAATAACAGAAGAGCAGCTAACAATCACAGAGCATTTGCCCAAAGCCAGGCACCGGTCTAAGTGCTCTGCATGTGTTAACTCATTTACTGTTAACCATCCCATGAGGTAGGCACTCCTATTGACACCATTGTAGAGATGAGAAAACCAAGGCATAGAGAGTTGAGGCTGCTTGTCTAAGTCATGAAGCTAGAATTCGTACCCAGGCCACTGGGTACCAGATTCCAGGCTCTTAACTGGTTCTTACTACTTGGGAAAGACAACAAAATTCCATGCTGTTTTGCTACGGAGGCAAAGGCTAAAAGTAATTTTTCCAAGTGAATAAAACCAAAAAAAAGGCCTGAGAGGGAAAACATGGGCTTTCTACCAAACTGTAGATTATTAAAGTGAGGATAAAGTAAATTTCAGACAAATAAAAGGAAAATGGCTTTGCACAGCAGAAAACATTATATAACTTTTTTTTTTCTGAAGAATTGAGACTACAAATTCTAATAGGCTCGAAAAGGGTTGGTAATTGATAATGTGTTACTAAGGGAAACAAGGTTTGTTCTGAGGCATTCTATCCTTTCAGGTGTGAGGTTAACAGGATTTCCACGTCTATTCGCCCGGGGAAAATCCCGGGTTATTTCTTTCAGAGGCAGGCTATGGGACTGAAGAACTGGGGGTCTCCCCCCGTGTGGCAAAGCCTCAGTCCACTTCTCACCACCCTTCCTGTCACTTGGGGCTTCCACCAGCTCCTTGCCAAACTCATCTCTGAGAAGCTCCATCCCAGGGGGGAAGATGGTCTGCGGGTGTGGGTAGTAGCGCTCAGTCTGAAGTGACAGGAAGTGCTGCCCAAGTAATTCCAAGGGGCTGGCACCCACGTCAGCTGTAAAAATCCTGCGCTGGGGTGGTGGCAGCCTAACAGTAGGGCCAAGTCTTACATTTGAGGCCCTCTGTGCTCCACGCTGTTCCCTCTGCCTGTTTCCTAGCCTGTTACGATCCTAACTGTAGGCCCAGAAGTCTCTCGGCCTCTCCCCTTTTCCTCTCCTTGGGCTTCAGATGCCTCCGGCTACCCAAGCACAGTGCTCCTCTGAGGAGCTGGGAGAGTCTGGCTATGCCTGCAGCCAGCTCCTTGGGCAATGGAGGATCTAGGGGTGAAATGGTTTTATTTCAAGTGTCTGCCGACCGGCAGCTCCAGGGCACAAAGAACGCCCCCTCTGGTCTTGTGTACCCGGGAGGAGAAGGCCTAGGACGTTCTGCTGTCCTCGTGGTGTTGCAGGATGTAAAAAGAAAAAAGATTTGGCAACGCTAGGCTTGGTGAACGGGATCAGGGGCAGGAGGCAATACGGTTGAAATATTAACTATTATCGAGCTGTTTAGTTCTGAAGGATTAAAGAGACACACATGCTGACTCTCTTTCACACAGGTCTATGCACAGGAAATCTCTACTCCATCAGCTACAGACATTTTAGCACAAACATTAGAGGTGGGACAGAGGCAATTTCTGGTTCTACTCACCTACGCAGTTATCGCAAAGGCTACAATGAGAGGCACGAGGGGGCCGGAAAATCTTGCAGGTGAAACAATATTTAAGTTTCACAGTCTGGCCATTGATGATGACTTCCTTGGTTCTGGGAGGTGGGCGGTACCCCCCTGAACTGGTGCCGTTTGCGATATCTGTGGAGAAAAGAAGACAAGAGCACAGGGGCTTAACATAGCACTTAAGCTCTGCAGGCTCCCGCACCTAGTAGGCCTGGAATCTGCATTTCCAAGTGCAGGGCCCACAGCCAGCGCCTTGCTGGGAGGCACCTGACCCCTAGACACACAAATGCGGTAGGACACCGAAGGCTGGCCGTCCCGCAACCTTCGTGCTCCTCGAGGGCTTGGGGCTGCGCTGACAATTCCACACACGCTGCAGTGGCCACGTGACTGAGTTCTGCCCAATGGGGTGCAAGTACACGTGGCCCCGCCCAGCCGGTGGGAGCCTCCCCTGAACCCCACCCACTGTCTCCCCCCTTCCGCAGGCCACCCTGGAGACATACACTGTGGCCCCCTAAATGACTGTGCACACATGCACGGGGATCCTACGCCAGCTAGCGCTGTCCTAATTAATACAGTGCGTGATATTTACATCAGGAACATTTCGCTTCTCCGACGCCGGCTCAAGAATCTCCCCACTTTGCACCTCGGCCTCCTCAAAAATACCAGATATTGGGTTGGGGGGTGGGGTATACAGATTTAAACATATATCTAAATAAATCATTACATGTCTATTTAAAAAAAACAATTTCTATATTTTATTGTCTGAACAGCATTTTTATTTTTTAGAACCAGTTTTTTTTAATGTTGAAGAAAATACAAATATGTATTTTTTTTTGTTCAAGTTTCATTTTATCTTATAACCTGGCTCTCATCCCTGAGTTCACATTAGAATCACCCAGGGAGGTTTTCAAACTCCCCTACTGCAGGGACCCTGCCCCAGACCCGATAAATCAGAATCGCCCAGGGTGATTCTAATGTGCTGTAGGGTTGAGGACCCCTGCTCTACAGGAAGATCAAACATTTTCTTCTCATCTAGACCCCTCACAGCCACAAAGAATCGAGGTCACAAGCTGCGCCACAGGAACAGAAGGCCACGGGTAAATGGGGAACAGCAAGAATATCTGTGAGGGCTTCAGCTGGGACTCTGCGGCTGATAAACACAGGTGCAGCAGAGCCTGGCGGCTGGAAGAACTCTTGGGAAACTTCATGGTGTTCTTTTAAAACAGCGCTGGTAACATTGAATTCGTTTTAATTCATACACTATCAGATGGCAACAGCTGCAACATTCTTTCGGTAAATTTCCAAAGAGATAGGAATGAGTCCCATCCTCCACTCAGCTCTCCCCACCCCCTCCCAGCCACGAACTCAACCTGGGCGAGAAGTACATGGAGAGTTTCAAAACTACGGATGCTACTGTCCTGCTCTCAGATATTCTGATTTCATTGGTGGGGTGCAGCCCGGCATCAGAGGTCTTAAAAGCTCCCCAGGTATGGGAATCAGGGCCTTGTCCCTGCGGTCCAGGCAGCACCCGAGAGCTTGTCAGAGAAGCACGTTCTCTCTCAGTCCCGCCCCAGAGCTCCCGAATCGGAATCTGCATCTACTGAGACCACCAGCCCCCTCCACTCCAGGGGACGTAGTGCACCTTAAGGTTTGAGAACGCTGCTCCCGGACGCGTGTAAACGCTGCCCATCACACGTCACATGCACCTCTTCCTCTCACGTTCTCGTTGTTGTGTGCCCAGGCACGCTCACAGGTATGACAGAGCTAAACTTAGAGAACACAGCAACCTGGAGAAACTCTGCACACAGGAAGGGGCCGCTTCACAAATCACAGCCAGCCACCCAAGCATTTTCACGTGGAGAACCTGGTGATCAGGGACAGCCGATGGAATCTGCAGAGCTGCAGCCTCTGTCCCCCCAGGACTGCGCTCACTCACAGAATTCACAGCTCACGAGTCATGATTTCAGGGAATGCCCCCTTTACTCCAATGTTCTTTTTTTTTTTTTTTTGCGGTATGCGGGCCTCTCACTGTTGTGGCCTCTCCCGTTGCGGAGCACAGGCTCCGGACGCGCAGGCTCAGCGGCCATGGCTCACGGGCCCAGCCGCTCCGCAGCACGTGGGATCCTCCCGGACCGGGGCATGAACCCGCGTCCCCTGCATCGGCAGGCGGACTCTCAACCACTGCGCCACCAGGGAAGCCCCCCAATGTGCTTTAAGAGGCTCTCTGAGGCCTGAAATCTGCCCGTAGCCCTTCAGCCTAAGGCTTTGATATGTGTGAAGATACCAACCCCATCGGTAGGGCAAACATTTTGAGTGGTTCCAAGCCATTTACTCTTCATGGAAAATTAAAGTTCCACAAGGAGGTTGTAGAAGGAGAGGTCAGAGTTCAGGAACACCTGAGGGAGAGAAGGCAGTACGGAGCGGGGACACGGCGAGTAACGAGCAGCCCTTCTGCTTTACATCCCCGCTGAGGACAGTCATTCCACCTGAGTAATTAAACAGCTGTGGCACCATCCCAAGGACTCTGGCCAAGCAGGACACCCTCTCTTGGCATGTCCCCCACCTGCCTGGCACCCCAAGGCTGCCCTGTTAAACAGTGCTAAGTTCAGCAGGCATCTGGAGAGGGGCCAGCTTCCAAAGCACGTACACTGGAAAGAGGGCAGCATCTCAACTGATTGTGTGATAAGAAAACAAAGAGACGGAGTGGCTGCGCACTTCCGGAAGCATCAGGGTAAAAATAACTGGCTTTGAACACATCAGAGATAAGGTCGCAGCTCTTCCAGTGCCAACTGGATGCCGCCGGGGCCTAAATTAATTATGACTCGGTGCCTCGCTAGCCTTATGTCAGCTGTGACACCCCCTGTATCTATTTAGCTCTTGAAAACATGCGTAGGAAAACTAGAAAGTCAGATAGAGGTTTAAAAAGAACAATAACCCAATCAATAATAGTTGTGTTACTTTAACCAGAAAAGTTTAAGAAATGACTTGTCAAGAAAAATATTTTAAGAAGCAGGAATGACAAACTTATCCACTAGAGCGACTCCTAAAAAAAGCCTAGTTCTGAGTAACAATGACTTTAAAAAGTATTTACCCGCACTCCTTAAGACCAACTCTAGTGATCTTATAGTTCTAAAGTACATTTTTGAAAGATGAAATCATTGATAAAAATTTGAGCTGAAGCTGGAATTCAACAGACATGGTACCCTGAAGCTTAAGAATTAAACCCAAACCAAAAACTTTTTGACTGAATATTTGGAGAGCTCTTTATGTAAAAGAATGGAAGAATCAGAGGACCTGGAATCAGGGCCCACCTAGGCCCTGAAGGGACTGAAGGACCACAGAACTAAGGGAAAAAAAAAATCAACCGGTATTTATGCATTATTTACTTTATGCAAAATACTGCACCGGAGGCGGTGGAGGACCCAGAAATGAACAGAGATGTCGCGTGGGGAGTGGTCAGCAAGGGGTCCTGCCGGGCTGTTTGATGAGCCCTGGGTCCCCTGACACACCTGGTCTGCTCTCCTCCTGGCCTTCAGAGCCTGCTTCCTAAGTGCAAGTCTGGCGAAGGAGAAACCCTGGCCTCTGGTGCGGTGCCCCAGGTCGTCTGTGTGCCCGGCCGCGCAATCTTACCCGGCCCGAGCCCGAGGCAGTGGCCTCCTTGCGGCCCCGGAGCAGGCATCGCTGTTCACGCTTCCAGGCATCTCTTCTCCGCCCGGGCCTCCCTGCCCTCCAGATACTCAACCTAGAAGGTCCGGTTCAAGCTTCTCCTATGGAAATGCCTTGAAAGCTGTGTCACTTCCTTCCTCTCTTGGGCTCTCGCTGCACCTAGCTCGTGCATGTATCTAGTCAATAGATCTGTGCTGGGCTCGTAGGTGCCAGCCCTGTGCTGGCAGCTGCGATGTAACAGGAACTAAACAGACTTGTCCTCTGCTGGTGGGGTTCACAGGCCCAAGGGACAACCTGGGTCCTCTGCTGGCGTGGTGCCCACGAGGATTTATCTCCGTGTCTTCCCCCAAACGCCGCGGCGCCAGGGCAGGGACCACGCCCTAGTGCTTTCATGTTTCCCCTGTCCTGCAGAGGGCCTACACACAGTAGGTCCCCAGGAACTGCTTGCTGAATGGAAGGCCAGTTCTGGCAGGTAGGGAGGAATGACGCTGGGAAGCGCAGGACCGGTGTCCCTGCTTCTCCACGCCCACTGGAGGCCAGTTCTAGCAGGTAGGGAGGAATGATGCTGGGAAGTGCAGGACCGGTGTCCCTGCTTCTCCACGCCCACCGGAGGCCAGTTCTGGCAGGTAGGGAGGAATGATGCTGGGAAGCGCAGGACCGGTGTCCCTGCTTCTCCACGCCCACCGGTCAGAGTCGCACAGCCCGGTGACTCGCCCTTCCCCAGGAACACCTCTCGCAAGGTCCTTCTGAAGCTCCTCTTTACGTGTCCTCTTTGCAGCCTTTGCTGGTCCAAAGGCCCATCTCGCAAAGCTAGTCAGTGCCACCTGGGAGGGCCAGGCAATATGGGTAGCTGCCTACCTCAAGGTACCCCCAAATTGTCGTTTCTTTCATAAAATACGTTCAACAGTCGCCCCAGACCAAAGGCTTTCTGGAATGCTCGCATCCAGGGCAGATGGGAACAATGGAGTCTTGAAACCCAAGGCTTCACACCCACACCTGAGGACAAAAGAAATGCCTCTTCGACATTCAGACTGGCACCAATGGCCGGTCGTGAAAGGCTTCTCATCCCCGAGGGTGACAAGCGCCCGTGGCCTGCTTCCCGGGGCCCAGAAGGTGGTGTTCCCATCCTAATCCTCAATTACTCTGTGGTTTGGGTTTTGGCTTTTGTTGTTGGCAACAATGGTGTCTCTGCTTCTTAGGGCTGCCCTTTGTGGTTTCAAATACAGCTGCTGAAAAAGAATAATCAGAGCCTGCAATAGCTAACGGATGAAGAACACTAGAATTGGGGGAGGAAAACCTCTTAACAGTTCTGCAAGCTTACATGAGTCAGTATTTTTCAAGGACATTTTTATACACTAACGTTTTGAAAGAAAACTTAAAAGGTTGAAGTGACCTTCTTCTTCACAAAGTCTCTCCACCTCGCCCCCTCCAAATTGCTGGAGTTGTTAGGACAGGGGCAGAAACAGTCA